CCCACCTCCGCCGCTCTGCCCGCGCCGGCCTGCTCGGGGCCCTCGGCGCCAAAACCGTTGCTCTCGTGGCCGAACGGCGACGCCTCGTTGCTCTCTGCTGCTCAAGAAGAGGAGGGAGAGGCCGGTTAGAGACTGTCGCGTCCACATGAGGGGCTTAGTGCCCTGTGCGGCCCTGCTCAGCGAGACCCTCCGCTCCCGACACCTTTAGAATCATAAAATCATTATAGTTGGAAAAGACTTTCAAGATCACCGAGTCCAAGTGTAACCCCGTCCCTATCGTGCCTGTTAAACCATGGGTGCCTAAGCACCTCATCTACACACTTCTTGAACACTGCCAAGGACAGTAACTCCGCCACTTCCCTGGGCAGCCTGGTCCAGTGCTTCACCGCTCTTTCCGTGAAGAAATTATTTTTCCTAATGTCTAACCTGAACCTCCCCTGGTTGCCCTGCCGGGCAGGGATTGCTCCCCTGTCTCAAGTGGCAACTTGAGGCCATTTCCTCTTGTCCTATCAGTAGTTATTCAAGAGAAGAGGCCGACCCCTGCCTCACTACAACCTCCTTCCTGGTAGTTGTAGAGAGCCATAAGGTCTCCTCGAGCCTTCCCCTCTCCACACTAAATAACTCAGCTCCCTCAGCCTCTCCTCGTAAGGTCTGTGCTCTAGTCCCTTCCCCAGCTTCGCTGCCCTCCTTTGGATATGCTGCAGCACCTCCATGTCCTTCTTGTAGTGAGGGGCCCAAAACTGAACATGGTATTCGAGTGCAAATGATCACTTCCCTGGTCCTGCTGTTCCACACGGTTCTTGATACCAGCCAGGATGCCACTGGCCTTCTTGCCCACCTGGGCGCACTGCTGGCTCCTGCTCAGCCACCTGTCAACCAACACCCCACAGGTCCCTTTCTGCCACACAGCTCTCCAGCCGCTCTACCCCAAGCCTGTAGTGCTGCATGGGGTGGTGGTAACCCAAGCGCAGGACCTGTCACCTCACCTTGTTGAACCTCATACAATTGACCTCAGCCCAGCGGTCCAGCCTGTCCAGATCCCTCTGTGAAACCCACACTGTCCCAGGATGTGCTCAATTCAGGCATCCACTCACCCAGCGCATAGACATAGTCATTGATGTTCCGCCTCCACCGGGAGCCTCCGCACGTGAAGACAATGGCGCGGACGAAGTCCCGGCCACAGAGCTTCACGGGTGCCCCTTCACCACTGGCCTGGTCCGTCACGGCCAGCAGCAAGGCGAGAAGAGCCAGTGCCAGCACCCCGGGCTTCATGGTGACTGTGCGATGCTGCGAGCGGCTGCCGAGGAGGAGGAGGAGGAGGAGGACGGTGCCAGGAGGACGCCAGAGCCCCTGCCTTTATAGGGAAGGTCCGCGTGCTCCACTGCCTCACGCCCCGCTGCAGCGGTGACTTAATGTTTGCCTAAAATCAGATGATTATTTGCCCTAAGTGCTCCGGGACATGAGTCGGGGGTTTGGGTGGGTTATTAAAGATGCCTTAAGACCCTATAACTGCTTTATAGCCGGGAGGCGTAGAGTGGCACAGCGCCTTTACGGCACTAATGTGTCTGCTCGGCGGGAGGGCGCGGGCGGTTATTACGTGTACAGCAGGTTATGGGTGAAAAAAAAAAACAAAAAGGCAATAAAATGCCCTAACGGGAGACCCGGGCAATGCTAGGTGAGGAATTCCCCGCCGCAGGACGCAGCGGCGAGGAGTGTGGCACACACCAGCACCGCAACACCGTTCAGCCTAGTTTACACTGCACGCAGGCAAGCGAGCGCCCACGTTACGGCTTACAGCCCTCGCCTCAGCTCGTTTTCTTCACCAGTGGCACCTGTAGGTAAATCGTCATGGCCACTGATGAAAAACACACGGTGTATTCTGTCCCAGTTTGTAATAATGATTAACACATGATTCACCTTAATGGATATCGTTTTTCCTGAAATGCACCAGGATTGGATGCGTTTTATGCCCAGGGCAGACTTGTGTTTTCATTGTAAAGGGTGCAGAATGCAGCAGGCCGTGGGTGTTAATGCATTGCTAAGTGAGCTTTAACTTTGGTGATGGGTTTAAATGCCGGACATTTATTGTTAGGCTAATGAGGGAGTTCTGCACCTGTAAAATAGATGTCCCTATGCTAAAGCTGCCTAATGCTCCCCAGGGCACACAGCTACTGTGCTCATCAGTTAGTTGGCGGGCAGAGCATTTCCCTGCCAGGCTTTTGTGTCACTTTGGTGACCTCTGTGTGGTCAGATTAGGCTAAAACTGAGATCGGGTTATTACTTAAGTCACCCGTGGAGATGATGTTCCATATTCTCAGTGAGCAGCTGGTCTTTGAAAATCCTCGATCTCTGAAAATCCTCGAGCCAGACCTTGACATCGTGGTCTGGCTAGGGGCCCACTGGCTGCTTCTGGTTCCTTCAGGC